CCCAACCCTAACCCCAACCCAATTAACCCATTGAGCTACTACCCAATTAACCCATTGAGCTACTACCCAATTAACCCATTGAGCTACTACCCAATTAACCCATTGAGCTACTACCCAATTAACCCATTGCGCTACACTGTAAGCTACTTTTTTTTTTAACTTGTCTAACGTCAAATGATTTTACTCGTCAATGGGGAAACTCTGCAGCTTAATCGATTAACCAAAACATCTGACAATGTATCTAGTTAACCCATTGAACCGCAATGCGCCTCAGTGCACCCTACTTATTTTTTTTACTTGTTTAACACCAAATAATTTTACTCGTCAATGGGGAAGCTCTGCAGCTTGATGGGTTAACCAAAAAATCTGACAATAACTCTAGTTACCCCATTGAATCAGTTTGATGGTTTGAAACAAGTGAAAACCTAAACTATATGGGGAGGTCTTCAAACATACCTACAGATTGCACCCGGCTTCCCCTCCCCCTTGCTATAAACACACACGTGTTAACACAAACTGAAAGTGATACTGGTCAACCGTTTCACCTCAACAAATCTGTGTTATAAATTCACGATACTCTTTGCGATATTTAAACGATCGCATTAAACTAAACTACCTCCGTTTACAAACATATTCAGCATCTGCGAAAATGAACCCAAACACATCATTACAGTAAATAAAACTAATTCTATTAAAATAAACAATGTATTCACTCACAGCAGTCACGACATTCTCCAAATGGGTTGCAAGCGCCTCGTTTTTCAAGGTTTCCTTGGCCTTCTGCTCGCTCAAACCAATACTTTGAAAGAGATCTAGTCTTGTAGACATCGTGCGTACTGCTAGTTTGTAAAAATCGAGCGATCTTGGGGAGAAATTTCGCCAAACTTTTAACATGAAAGCAACGAGCAAAGATGTTCTAAACCTCCATTGTCACACCAATACTTTATGTTAGCTTGTATATAATGTCTCACTGACGTGTTCCATCGATTCGTACTCAACTCCCGCTGGGGTTTATCCACGCGCGACAAAAAGGGCGTTGGCCATCGCGGAATTTAGTCAAAACTGACTGGCGAAAAACTGGATGGTTAATTATAACTTAAGGCGGCTCACTGATGTTTTTGAAAAATAAAAAATACATAATACAGGGTGTTAGCCAGAAAACGTTTTGTCCGTTAAACGTAAATTGGGAAAGTTTTTTTGACCGATCAAAGTCCTTGTGTCGGAATAAATAGTGTTTTTTTCCAACGTGTTTCTCCTTAGATGCAAACAACGGTAGCTTGGTTTTGTACATTTCATTTCTGGTGAATGAACACTGAAAAATGCACCCGATGGCACTTCGTTTTGTATATTTCATTTCCGGTGAATGAACACGGATGCACACCGATTACACTTTGTTTTGTACATTTCATTTCAGTGAATACACACCCAATATGAATGAAACGCGATGCATTTTGAGAAATTAGTTAATGGGAAAAAGTAAATAAAACGTTCTTTGATATAATAATATAAAATCAAGCGCAATGCACTTTCTCATCAGAAAAAATGAAAATCTTCCAGTAGACCCAGTTGGGAAAGCCCCTTGGCTACTTCAATTGGGAAGAGTCCGTCAAACGGACTGTATATGGGCTAGCTAACACCCTGAAATAGTACTGACCATGTGACTCATAATAAAAACTTTAAAACTACCAAGTAATGTTTGTCTTTAATGAATTAAATATCTCTTTAAATATATTTTTGTGAATTTATCGAGAATATTTACAGTAAAAATATGTGAACAAAGTATTGGACAATGATAAAATTTCTTGACATACTTAAATATTTGGTCGCTATTTACAGTTAAAAGCATAACAATTAATTCGCTAACTGTACATGCATGTTTTAAATAGTTCACTATGAAGAATGCACCTTGCGACGCACACGCGTAAAAACGCACAAGTTGTTACAAATTTGTTCAGAAGCGGTCGACAAGTTGTCTTCGCACTGTTTGTTCCCCAGGGGCGGATCCAGGGGGTGGCAAGCGTGGCTTGAGCCACGGTCAGATTTTTGACTAAATCGTCATGTTCTCTAACTTGGTCTATATAAGGACGAAGCGATCGGCGATCGTTTATATTTATACACATAAACGCGTCCCAAATCTTTTAAATTTAAACAAATACATACTCGCATCGTTATATCTTACTGTTATTTGATTTTCAACAAAATCGCGAAATAAAAACGTAAATATATCAAAAGATGTAATTCCTGAACTGTAAAAGGTTCAAAACCTCAGGAAAACCCCTCAAAAACGCTTGTCGAGGAGGTAGGGAAAACCCCTCATTTGCTGAAGTTGAATGTTTGCTACGACGATAACCGAGAACTACTCGAAGTTCATCATTTTTAGTTCGGAAAATGTTCGTAAAATGCGACTGCGATTTTGAGCCACGGTCCGCGGTTCGGATGTTACTAAATATAGTAACTTCTTGCCACTTTGAGCCACGGTGGAGCGTGTCAAGCCAATCACAGACCGAGATTTTATCATGTGAGCCACGGTGAGCCACGGTGGCCATGTTTTTGTT